CGAGATCACATGACGGTAACTGCGAAGCGTGCATTTTACATTTGTTCCATTCAGACAGTACTCGAGTATGGGAGTAACTCATTTGCTCATTGCTTGTCAGTAACTCTTCATGACCGTCTAGTCCGTCTTAGTAATAGAGCTCTACGCATTGTGTTCAGTATGCCTCGCTTTTCTGACGTATCCCTTGTTAATGCACGCCATCACATTCTCCCTTTGTCTGTGCGCTATCAGTTCAAACTCTATATCTTAGTGTTTCGTGTCCTGAATCAGTTAACTACTACTCTCCTTACTGATTGCTTTTGCCTTCGTTCTACTTCTACTCGTACCAATTCCTGCACTCGCTCTCAGGTATCTTCGTCTGTCACTCTACCAAAAGCTAAAACTCGTTTCGGTCTCTTTTCAGTTTCTTTCATCGGTTCCGACCGTTGGAATGCACTCCCCGCTGCAGTCCGCTTATGCTCTTCACTGCACCTATTCCGTCATTCAGTACTTTCATTTCTAGGGTACCCTGTAAGAAGGCCTTAGGCCTGTGGGGATTGCCCTATCAAAAATTTGATAATAATAATAATAAATAATAATATTTCGATCGTGAGAATCGGCCAAGAATTGACCGAGTTACGATAGTTTGAACTCACGCGGTTCATGCAAATCGCGTTTGTACGCTATGTACACTCACGACGTAATAATACGTCATGCGTGGGTGCAGTGACACTGTACGTGACGTATTAATACGTCATGCGTGCTCAAAGGGTTAAACGCTGTCGCGGCGACTATCACGTACGCGAAATAGTTGAGAACTGCTGACGTGGACCTTTTGCACCTGGAACGGCCCCGTAAACGCTGTCGTGTCGGCGGAGTGAATGTGCAGGGTACTAGGGTGAAAAGAATTGCTGCAAAGACGTCCCCTCTACTAGGCTCTAGGCCTTTGCCTTTGGAGACATCGTCGGCGAACTGAATGCGCAGGGCGAAAAGAATTGCTGCAAAGACGTCCGCTCTAGGCCTTTGGAGACATCGTGGGAACTCCTTCCGGTACTATACAAACTGCTGACGTGGCCGTGGACATGTAGATCTACATGGAGAGTCATGGTGGGACTTCATGTACATGGATACATGGTGGGAATTCCTTCCGGCACCCCCGTACCGCAAAGCCAACGGTGGGGAAGGAGAAGTACAGACGTGCAGAAAGACGAACGAGGAGGAACCAGGACGAGCGAGCAATGGCAGGACTAGCTGGACCGTAAGTAATAGCTGAATTGTGCATGACAACTTGACATCCATGCGGCACTCGCCACTTGCCACTGCATATTTCTTGTCCACTAACAATGTCTCTCCTCTGCCCCCTGTGTGTCCACGGCCCTGTTGCTGAATTGGCCCGATGAATCGAATGTCTTCCGCAACTGGAACGGCCCCGTGAACGCTGTCGCGTCGGCGACTGAATGCGCAGGAGGGAAAATATTGCTGCGAAGACGTCTCCTCTAGACGACGGTAAGGCACCCCATTGATATGTTGCCAGTGTGTGCCAGGGTATCGCGCGATGATGAATGAGGAATGATGAAGGGTACGGTGGGACTGTAGACCTGTTACCTTCTACTAACACGTTATCAGGTGGAGAGTGTCTTGTACTCACGTTATCAGGTCGAGAGCGTATTGTAGTCACTCTCTCTATTCCTGTACTTCATTACGTTTAAGGTGTACGTATAACTTCTCAAAAAAATGTAATGGTCTACAGTCGTGTCGGCAGGGTACGGTGGGACTGTAGACATGTTACCTTCTAACACGTTATCAGGTGGAGAGTGTCTTGTACTCACGTTATCACTATATCAGGTCGAGAGCGTATTGTAGTCACTCTCTCTATTCCTGTACTTCATTACGTTTCAGGTGTACGTATAACTTTTCCAAAAAATTTAATGGTTCACGACTTCAGATAGAGAGCGTATTGCACCCACTGTCTAGTCTCTGTAGTGCATTGAGATTTTGTTGATCGAACATGAAATGGATACACAGACAAAGCCAGGCCAAGTACATGGCGAGATGTCGCCAGAAGAACGTCTTCAGGTAGAGAGCGTATTGCACCCAATGTCTAGTCGATTTTGTGGATCGCACATGAAATGGATACACAGACAAAGCAGGCCAAGTACATGAGAGAGTGGACGATGTGCAGATCGACACGGCCTGCGGGTACTTCATTAAAGTTGCCCATGACATAACTAGGATAAAAGTAATAGTTAATCACTGCAAAAACATTGCCAAGTATGTGAGCACTTTGGACTTGACAGAAGAGTGCATGGGCGACGTTGACAAAACATACCGCGGTGACTGTCACTATCATGACAGCAGGGCACATCGCACGCAGCATCGCAGATCGTGTCGAATTGCGCATCATAATATTGCAAAATTGCTCCTGTGCATGCAAGTGGATTTCATTGCACTTCTCAGTTTGGGAAATGCTCGATTATGACAATTCTCCGTGTGAGTGCACTAGCCCTGAACAGATATGTAGGTGAACCGTTTGTGGTGTCTCATAGCCTACCTCACGACCTGCTTTCTTTCTTCATCACTTGTATCTTGCAGGTATATCATCCCGTGACGACCACATTGAAGTCTGAATTTGAAGTGTGAAGATGCTTCAGCAACCACATTGTACTTTTCCATTGCTTTCATTGTGCTTCTACTGTGCATGTGTGAGACTTGTGGGGTAAACATGTGATGACATTGTATGCTGGCGACACGGTCAGATGTTCATGCGTCTAACGTACACCTGCATGTTATGCATTGAAAAGGGTTTGCCACTTGCGATCCTGGGACGAGTATCAGGTCCGCTTTGTCCTGTGTGGGCTGTATCAGATTGCTGTTCACTTCTCTATCTGTTGGATATGTGACTTTCTGCAAGTTTCTGGTGTATGATGGCCACGTCCTTGCTTGTCACTTTGTATGATATTACATTCTGTATTCGCTGCTTCCATGGCATGGTCTGCAAACTGCAATCCTTGGGCAAATGTCATGTTTGCTATGTTGTGCTTTGGCCGTCAGCTTGTCTACACGCTGTAGTTGAATTATTTTTGTTTCACAACTGACTTCCTCAAGTACGGTGGCCACTGCTTTGCATGGCATTATACATGAAGAATTTCCTGTTTGTGCCGTGTGCATGTGCGTATGTGTGCGTAGCCACGTGTGTGTGCCGTGTGCATACACATGTTTGTGTATCTGTGTGCGGGGTAGCGAGGCGGGGAGGGCTGGTATGTATCAGTGTGTTATTGCAGTCGCATGGCTACATACAGTACATCGCGCGCGTGGTCATCATGTTTACCTTCGGGGTTGGGGTGGGGAGCCGGAGGGAACGGAAAAAGACCTGAAATTATCCATATAAAAATCGCTCTGTGAGCGGTTCTGAAAAACCTTTACTGGTACTGCCCCGTCGTAAAAGTAAGAAATTAGAACTGGCCCATTGTCCCCCCAAATGCGAACTGATCCACCTAAATCGCGAATGACGGGACCCGAACGCACCAGTAGCACGAGGTTCCTACCTGTGGATGCAGATGGGGACGTTGGTCCGGACCATAGGCCATGTACTGTACTAGCGGTAGGCTTCCCTATCAAAATAATAAATTCTACTGCTACTACTGGTGTTACCCTATGATAATTGCCGTGATCCTGTGCCCTCCCGACCTCGTGCTACTGGTGCGTTCGGGTCCCGTCATTCGCGATTTTGGTGGATCAGTTCGCATTTGGGGGGACAATGGGCCAGTTCTAATTTCTTACTTTTACGACGGGGCAGTACCAGTAAAGGTTTTTCAGAACCGCTCACAGAGCGATTTTTATATGGATAATTGGTATATACAGAAGCCTTGCTTGGTAGTTTAACATGTTTTTCGATTTTGACAGCATGTTACAAGGCGGGTTATGGTTGTAGTCAGGAGCACTACGCGATTCATGCGATTATGGTCATTGGTGGTACCGATATGCCGTGAGTCAGGTGGCGGGCAATGTACACGCGCAGGCGCCGCCCGTGGTTGGCTGTTCCCATGGCAACAGCCTTGTCAGTGTCGTGAAATAGTCATAGCCTGGATTTGATTATACAGAATGACCTTGCAGTATTCTTCATGTCCTTCATTACATGGTTGCATTTGCATTGGCATTGATCCGCATCAGGGAGTAGTACTACTCCCTGGTCCGCATTACGTCCATAGACATGCATGATCATCATGGCAATGGTAGTATGATCATCCTATACATGCACTACAATCATTGATCATGTTTTTCGATTTTGACAGCATGTTACAAGGCGAGGATGCATAGTGCTCCTGACTACAACCATAACCCGGTTGGCGCGCTGTAGGGTTCACAACCCCTACAAAGAGGGTCCTGGGTTTTCCCAATACGGTTCAAATGGTCGCAAGACCGGGACTCTGCCAACCGGGCTATGGTTGTAATCAGGAGCACTATGCGTCCTCGCCTTGTAACATGCTGTCAAAATCGAAAAACATGTTAAACTACCAAGCAAGGCTTCTTTATATCATTCATCATGTACCACATTACATCATCTGGTACTACATTACATCATTCTTTTTTCGATTTTCGCCTTGTAACATGCTGTCAAAATCGAAAAACATGTTAAACTACCAAGCAAGGCTTCTGTATATACCATTACATCATTCTGTACTACATGCATCATCATTGTGATTCCCCGGGCACGTGGGTCCTGGTAATAAGTACTAATAACTACACCGTATGGGTGTGCATGTTAAGGCAACAACAATAATGACAACAATCCCTCAGCGGCAAAGACGACCATTCGTCAGTAGTCGCTGTGATAGCCGCAGCCTAGATTGTGAGCAGCAGCCTGACACAGCACCGTACTGGCAGCAAACCTGCATTGCGGATCAGATGATCAATGCCGCTTGAAACTGCCAATACAATATTTACATACAATGTAGATTCATGCACCTGCATGCTGTTGAGTCACGGTGGTGCAGAGTACAAGCATTACTGGGCCGGGGAGATCAGGGACAGATCTACTCAGCCATGGCCAGGTAGCATTCTGAAGTTGATGAACTGCATGGCAGAAAAATTTGAGCGTGAAAAATAAAAAAACCTCCTCAAGTCTCAAGGGATTGCACTCTCAGAGATGATCCGTGACATCAAGTGTGGAAAATCCACATAATCAGGTCTGCTTATAGGCCAACGGCACATGTCTGCACACCGGGAGTGTTGAAAGAGAATCTAAATACTTGCAAGCTTGCATGAGTAACTGGTCAAAGAACACGTCCATGAACAGTCTGTTGATCAGGCAACAGCGAGCAAGACAGTGCTTGCACGCGCACTGTGTCGTCTGTCTTACGGATGCTGGAGCCTTGGAGGCTACTCTCGCTAAAACCAGGCTGTATTCACTGCACGGATGCACACATGCACCATCCAATTGAACAGCCTCGTGGGCACGAGTACCGGCCAGGCCATACGCGCAGCACACATTGGCAGGCCGCAACGGCTCTGAGAGTGTAGCCGCAGAAGCCTGCTGATGCATGGAGTAAACACAGCATGAAGCCTGCTGATGCATGGAGTAAACACAGCATGAAGCCTGCTGATGCATCCAGTAAACACAGCATGAAGCCTACTGATGCATGGAGTACACACACAGCATGAAGCCTGCTTATGCATCGAGTACATCCAGCATGTATAGACTGAACAGCCATGCATACAGTAGTGTCAAGTCAGGAGAGCGAGCGGTTACTGACGTGTTTGGTAATCCCTTTCTGTATCGCCGCCAGTCGTCTATTTCTCAATACCGGTATGCAGTACGCCCATACCGCCAGCAGAAGCAGCTTCTGTTTGGTCCGACCATACCCTCACTTTAACTTGGCGCATGATGCGGCGGGTACAAATGACCTACTCAGCAGCAAGCGCACGTTGGATGTGGTGGTGGTGGTGGTGGTGGTGGTGGTGGTGGTGGTGGTGGTGGTGGTGGTGGTGGTGGTGGTGGTGGTGGTGGTGGTGGTGGTGGTGGTGGTGGTGGTGGTGGTGGTGGTGGTGGTGGTGGTGGCGGGGGTGGTGGTGGTGGCGGGGGTGGTGGTGGCGGGGGTGGTGGTGGCGGGGGTGGTGGTGGTGGCGGGGGTGGTGGTGGTGGCGGGGGTGGTGGTGGTGGCGGGGGTAGTGGCGGAGGTGGTGTGTGTGTGTGGGGAGGGGGGGGGGTGGCTGCTGGTGGTGGTGGTGGCGATGCTGGTGCTGCTGGTGGCTGGGGTGGTTCTGCTGGTGCTGGTGGTGGAAAGGTTGATCCAGGTAGCCATTAACCTGACCAACAGCACTGGTTTCAGCCTCCACGGCCTGCATGCAGAACACGAGCGCCATGGCTCAGTTTGACTGCCGCATAGTGCGACGGTAGCCCTGGTTACACTGTGGTGGTGATTGGGAGAGTCACGGGTAGAAAATGGCCCTCGATCCGCTGCACTACTGGAGTGAAGCTTTGGTCGTGTGGAAGCACGCCACGTATTGGTGCTGTACATGCCAGTGGCTATTAGATACAGCCAGGAGCAGCAGAGAGCACACAATGCAGACAGGACACAGTGAAGACAGGATGCAATGCAGGCTGGACACAATGCAGACTGGACACAGTGCAGACAGCACACACTGAATGTAGACAGGACACAGTGCTGAGGGGATGGCAGGGAGGCGCCAATGTAACAGCCACCAGCAGTGGATAGGATTTGTATATCTTGCATGTACAAAGTGCAAACACCTTTTCCATGCTTGCAGTTAAAGGACTTGGTCTTCCACAGTAGAGAGGTTGCGCACAACGAAAATCCGTAAGATCTTGACCGTCCGGGTTCGAGTAACGAAAGCTGCTTTGAAGATTCGTCCAACCGCGACCACTTCATAGCCGTGTGGTGTAGACCAGGCTGAATAGTGGCGGTCAATTCTTCAGCCTTGCAAGCTGTTGAGTGGTGCAATCCCAGCACAAGCTGCTATGGCTTCTGCTGTAGCATCGCTATCATCGCCTCCGGCGATGGGCGTCCAATGGTCCAATGGTGTGTGTGTGTGTGTGTGTGTGTGTGTGTGTGTGTGTGTGTGTGTGTGTGTGTGTGTGTGTGTGTGTGTGTGCAGGGCAGCCCCCGTTGAGTGCCCCATCTGTGGAAAGGTCTGCTCTAGACCAAGCAATCTTAAGCGCCACAAGTGCACAGCGGAGCGTCGCAAGCCAGTCCAACAGCAGCGTGGTGCATGTCAATGCGCAGATTGTGGGAAATGGTATCGTAGCAGGGGTGGACTCGCTGTCCACAGGTGTCAGCCTACCTCAATCGCTAGCCAGCCCGCTTCCGCTCCTTGTAGACCTCGCCAGAACCGCCCAACAACGGATGAGGGTGCCAAGTTTCCACTACTGTGTCAGCACTGCTCTTGGAGATTTTGGCAGACCAGGCACCTGACGCCGCACCGGCGTGTTTGTTCTTCTCCCTCCTCCCGCAATGGGACCACGTAACCTTTACGGCAGTGGGTCAACAGGACAGGACAGGACAGGTGTGTGCAGGATGTGTGTGCGTGTACGTGTGTGTGTGTATATGTGTGTGTTTGCGTGTGTTTGCATGTGTATCTGGTGGGTGGGTGGATGGGGCCGGGGACGGAGTGGAACTTGTTAGCTCCCGGCTAAATGAAGTCCCCTCACACTAGCATAGATACACCTATTACTAACTTACCGTGTCGCTTGATTGTAATTTTGCTACCCAGGATTGATGGTCTAGAACACAAGGAACACCACATGCCCGAGGCAAAAGCACCGGATCAATGCATTTTGTATGGGATGGAAGTCATGACGGCTTAGACCCCAGACAAATACCGTGTACTATGGATGCAGGCATGAACACATATCAAGCATGTTGCTTCTGTGTTGTTGCTTGTTTTTCATTTGTTTGCTTCAGCTTAAGTGTGGCTTTTCTCCATCTGATGCAGCATAACCTGTATGTGCGTTCACCTGTATGTGCAGTTCACCTGTATGTGCAGTTCACCTGTATGTGCAGTTCACCGGTATGTGCAGTTCACCTGTATGTGCAGTTCACCTGTATGTGCAGTTCACCTGTATGTGCGTTCACCTGTATGTGCAGTTCACCTGTATGTGCGTTCACCTGTATGTGCAGTTCACCTGTATGTTCGTTCACCTGTATGTGCAGTTCACCTGTATGTGCAGTTCACCTGTATGTGCAGTTCACCTGTATGTGCAGTTCACCTGTATGTGCAGTTCACCTGTATGTGCAGTTCACCTGTATGTGCAGTTCACCTGTATGTGCAGTTCACCTGTATGTGCAATATAACCTGGTCTAAGCGACCGCCCCGCTGTGCGATCAAAAGCGATTGTTACATGTACTGTAAAGCCGGAAAGTGTAACGAGTCACAAAGTCTAAATTGTTAACGACCAATTTGTTTCAGCTATTTGCAGAAATGCTATCATGAACCCAGTTTGAGATGTCTGTGTAAAGATGTGCATACATCGATGCATGTTCTTTCCCTTGTACAAACATCGTTAAACTTTCTGCACGTCATCATGCCAAAATCACAAAAAAACATTTAACTTTTGGTCGTTAAACTTTCCGCTTTTACAGTACTCATATTGACAGGTGCTGGATGACATCATGTGACCTTACAAAGAACACTAAGTCTTTCATGCAGACAAAGTAGCCATATTAGGGGTTTTCACGCGGCCTCAGTCAAGCACGTACTACGCAACCTACACTGCCGTTTGTCACTTCCGTTGACTGCATGCACTCAGAGTCACTTCTGTTGACTGCATGCACTCAGAGTCACTTTCGTTGACTGCATGCACTCAGAGTCACTTCCGTTGACTGCATGCACTCAGAGTCACTTCCGTTGACTGCATGCACTCAGAGTCACTTCCGTTGACTGCATGCACTCAGAGTCACTTCTGACCGCACTGCAAACCCTGCTGCAGTCAACTCTGCCGGCCAGGAATGCACTTGTGGTCGCTGTGTGTAGGTCTGACATGGCCGCTGATTTGGTATTTTTTTTAAGTCGGCTGCTGGTTGCGCAATGCAGGTGGTCGCCGTTTCCGGTGCAGTTTTTATCTAGAACTGTCGGTGCATGGAAAAACGGTGGCTAATGCCAGAGGTCGCTGTAACAGGTGTTACTGTAAACAACTTGTTCCCTAAGTGTTGCAGCCGAGCTGGGTGATCGAGTGTGGGCTCCACAACACACATCACCCCTAAGTGTTGCAGCCGAGCTGGGTGATCGAGTGTGGGCTCCACAACACACATCACCCCTAAGTGTTGCAGCCGAGCTGGGTGATCGAGTGTGGGCTCCACAACACACATCACCCCTAAGTGTTGCAGCCGAGCTGGGTGATCGAGTGTGGGCTCCACAACACACATCACCCCTAAGTGTTGCAGCCGAGCTGGGTGATCGAGTGTGGGCTCCACAACACACATCACCCCTAAGTGTTGCAGCCGAGCTGGGTGATCGAGTGTGGGCTCCACAACACACATCACCCCTAAGTGTTGCAGCCGAGCTGGGTGATCGAGTGTGGGCTCCACAACACACATCACCCCTAAGTGTTGCAGCCGAGCTGGGTGATCGAGTGTGGGCTCCACAACACACATCACCCCTAAGTGTTGCAGCCGAGCTGGGTGATCGAGTGTGGGCTCCACAACACACATCACCCCTAAGTGTTGCAGCCGAGCTGGGTGATCGAGTGTGGGCTCCACAACACACATCACCCCTAAGTGTTGCAGCCGAGCTGGGTGATCGAGTGTGGGCTCCACAACACACATCACCCCTAAGTGTTGCAGCCGAGCTGGGTGATCGAGTGTGGGCTCCACAACACACATCACCCCTAAGTGTTGCAGCCGAGCTGGGTGATCGAGTGTGGGCTCCACAACACACATCACCCCTAAGTGTTGCAGCCCAGCTGGGTGATCGAGTGTGGGCTCCACAACACACATCACCCCTAAGTGTTGCAGCCGAGCTGGGTGATCGAGTGTGGGCTCCACAACACACATCACCCCTAAGTGTTGCAGCCGAGCTGGGTGATCGAGTGTGGGCTCCACAACACACATCACCCCTAAGTGTTGCAGCCGAGCTGGGTGATCGAGTGTGGGCTCCACAACACACATCACCCCTAAGTGTTGCAGCCGAGCTGGGTGATCGAGTGTGGGCTCCACAACACACATCACCCCTAAGTGTTGCAGCCAAGCTGGGTGATCGAGTGTGGGCTCCACAACACACATCACCCCTAAGTGTTGCAGCCGAGCTGAGTGATCGAGTGTGGGCTCCACAACACACATCACCCCTAAGTGTTGCAGCCAAGCTGGGTGATCGAGTGTGGGCTCCACAACACACATCACCCCTAAGTGTTGCAGCCGAGCTGGGTGATCGAGTGTGGGCTCCACAACACACATCACCCCTAAGTGTTGCAGCCGAGCTGGGTGATCGAGTGTGGGCTCCACAACACACATCACCCCTAAGTGTTGCAGCCGAGCTGGGTGATCGAGTGTGGGCTCCACAACACACATCACCCCTAAGTGTTGCAGCCGAGCTGGGTGATCGAGTGTGGGCTCCACAACACACATCACCCCTAAGTGTTGCAGCCGAGCTGGGTGATCGAGTGTGGGCTCCACAACACACATCACCCCTAAGTGTTGCAGCCAAGCTGGGTGATCGAGTGTGGGCTCCACAACACACATCACCCCTAAGTGTTGCAGCCGAGCTGGGTGATCGAGTGTGGGCTCCACAACACACATCACCCCTAAGTGTTGCAGCCGAGCTGGGTGATCGAGTGTGGGCTCCACAACACACATCACCCCTAAGTGTTGCAGCCGAGCTGGGTGATCGAGTGTGGGCTCCACAACACACATCACCCCTAAGTGTTGCAGCCGAGCTGGGTGATCGAGTGTGGGCTCCACAACACACATCACCCCTAAGTGTTGCAGCCGAGCTGGGTGATCGAGTGTGGGCTCCACAACACACATCACCCCTAAGTGTTGCAGCCGAGCTGGGTGATCGAGTGTGGGCTCCACAACACACATCACCCCTAAGTGTTGCAGCCGAGCTGGGTGATCGAGTGTGGGCTCCACAACACACATCACCCCTAAGTGTTGCAGCCGAGCTGGGTGATCGAGTGTGGGCTCCACAACACACATCACCCCTAAGTGTTGCAGCCGAGCTGGGTGATCGAGTGTGGGCTCCACAACACACATCACCCCTAAGTGTTGCAGCCCAGCTGGGTGATCGAGTGTGGGCTCCACAACACACATCACCCCTAAGTGTTGCAGCCGAGCTGGGTGATCGAGTGTGGGCTCCACAACACACATCACCCCTAAGTGTTGCAGCCGAGCTGGGTGATCGAGTGTGGGCTCCACAACACACATCACCCCTAAGTGTTGCAGCCGAGCTGGGTGATCGAGTGTGGGCTCCACAACACACATCACCCCTAAGTGTTGCAGCCGAGCTGGGTGATCGAGTGTGGGCTCCACAACACACATCACCCCTAAGTGTTGCAGCCAAGCTGGGTGATCGAGTGTGGGCTCCACAACACACATCACCCCTAAGTGTTGCAGCCGAGCTGAGTGATCGAGTGTGGGCTCCACAACACACATCACCCCTAAGTGTTGCAGCCAAGCTGGGTGATCGAGTGTGGGCTCCACAACACACATCACCCCTAAGTGTTGCAGCCGAGCTGGGTGATCGAGTGTGGGCTCCACAACACACATCACCCCTAAGTGTTGCAGCCGAGCTGGGTGATCGAGTGTGGGCTCCACAACACACATCACCCCTAAGTGTTGCAGCCGAGCTGGGTGATCGAGTGTGGGCTCCACAACACACATCACCCCTAAGTGTTGCAGCCGAGCTGGGTGATCGAGTGTGGGCTCCACAACACACATCACCCCTAAGTGTTGCAGCCGAGCTGGGTGATCGAGTGTGGGCTCCACAACACACATCACCCCTAAGTGTTGCAGCCAAGCTGGGTGATCGAGTGTGGGCTCCACAACACACATCACCCCTAAGTGTTGCAGCCGAGCTGGGTGATCGAGTGTGGGCTCCACAACACACATCACCCCTAAGTGTTGCAGCCGAGCTGGGTGATCGAGTGTGGGCTCCACAACACACATCACCCCTAAGTGTTGCAGCCGAGCTGGGTGATCGAGTGTGGGCTCCACAACACACATCACCCCTAAGTGTTGCAGCCGAGCTGGGTGATCGAGTGTGGGCTCCACAACACACATCACCCCTAAGTGTTGCAGCCAAGCTGGGTGATCGAGTGTGGGCTCCACAACACACATCACCCCTAAGTGTTGCAGCCGAGCTGAGTGATCGAGTGTGGGCTCCACAACACACATCACCCCTAAGTGTTGCAGCCGAGCTGGGTGATCGAGTGTGGGCTCCACAACACACATCACCCCTAAGTGTTGCAGCCAAGCTGGGTGATCGAGTGTGGGCTCCACAACACACATCACCCCTAAGTGTTGCAGCCGAGCTGAGTGATCGAGTGTGGGCTCCACAACACACATCACCCCTAAGTGTTGCAGCCGAGCTGAGTGATCGAGTGTGGGCTCCACAACACACATCACCCCTAAGTGTTGCAGCCGAGCTGAGTGATCGAGTGTGGGCTCCACAACACACATCACCCCTAAGTGTTGCAGCCGAGCTGAGTGATCGAGTGTGGGCTCCACAACACACATCACCCCTAAGTGTTGCAGCCAAGCTGGGTGATCGAGTGTGGGCTCCACAACACACATCACCCCTAAGTGTTGCAGCCGAGCTGGGTGATCGAGTGTGGGCTCCACAACACACATCACCCCTAAGTGTTGCAGCCGAGCTGGGTGATCGAGTGTGGGCTCCACAACACACATCACCCCTAAGTGTTGCAACCTCTCGATTGGAATCGACTGCATATGCCACTGTACACACATGCATGTACACACACACACACACACACACACACACACACACACAAGCACGCGTGTGCGCGCGCACACACACACACACACACACTGTCTGCACATATCTTCTTACCAGTTCGCAACTCCTGATGCTTAGTCTCCTTCTCTTCGATATAGGTCAGTACCTCTTGATGCAAGTTGATGTGTGCCAGTACATTTAGGTGACCTAACAGTGTCTCTTTCCGGGACCTCATCTCCTTAAGCAGGTCATCCAGATTTGTAATATCGCTCGCAAGTTCCTCCATCCACAACCGCTGATGGTCGCTCAACTGTACAGCAAACAATAATACCTGTCAGTCTGTGTGTGTGTGTGTGTGTGTGTGTGTGTGTGTGTGTACCTGTGTGTGTATGTATGTGTATCTGTGTGTGTATGTGTGTGTGTGTGTATGTGTGTGTGTGTGTGTGTGTGTGTGTGTGGATTCACTGGCCAGAAAAAAGCCACTTCAAAGCTGTGTGGTGTAGACCAGGCTGAATAGTGGTGGTCAATTCTTCAGCCTTGCAAGCTGTTGAATGGTGCAATCCCAGCACAAGTTGCTATGGCTTCTGCTGTAGCATCGCTATCATCGCCTCTGGCGATGGGCGTCCAATGGTCAATGGTCAATGGTGTGTGTGTGTGTGTGTGTGTGTGTGTGTGTGTGTGCGTGTGTGTGTGCGTGTGCGCATAGCCAGTGCAGACTAAATTTTATTTTTCAAGGAAACCCTTCTGAAACGGTATCAATCGATTCAGCATGGAATTTCATTCCTCCTGCAAAGTTTCAGCTGATTTGGAGCCACGGCAAGGGCGCTATGGCGATTTGAAGATCGAAAAACATCAATTTTGTTTGTCACGAAGAAAGGCCATGATTGCAACACAAAGGGTACAGATAGGGTTTTTCATTTGACCCGACGAGACCACACGACGCTTGCAGATCACAGCGCAAACAGTTCACCAACCACACTCCACGAAAGCAAGTAGTGTTACTCCTGACAAGTCTTGTTTCGTTCCATAACGATGACAGGGAACTCATCAGAGGAGAAGCAGTTGTTGAACTGTGTGTGAAGGGGTTAAGCTGAATAATGCTATTTTATAGAGAAGATACTAGCACAAGGTGTTAACACTCAACTACCTCACATATGTGACAAATCAACACAAAGGGAATAGTGCAGAATGGAGGTGTTATGAACCCTACCAGACACAACTATCACAAGTGCTAAGTCAATCACAATGAGAAGAAGAGGTACACACGAATAGGTTGCGCACGTTTACACGTCACAAAGAGTACTGGGGTGGTGAACTGTTCGTTCTGTGATCTGCAAGCGCCGTGTGGTCTCGTCCGGTCAAATGAAAAACCTATTACTACTACCGGTATTTGACGGACCTATTGAAGATGGCAACAAAGAATTACAACTCTTAGACCAGGAAACCTGCCATTGATCAGAGGAAGGATGTGATCTGCTGCTCGGAAATATGGCGTTAGACGCCAACCCTGCAGCGAAGATCTGGATGGATACGTCGCTTCAGCAGCCCACAGTTCTCGAATTATGTCACACCCCAGCAGCCTTCCTCTCACCTACCGTTGGCTGAATTTCAATTATCGAGGTTCGTGAAGTATGTCTTGTGTAGTTAGCAATCTTCAGATGTGACATTAGACGTCCGTCATAATTTGTTGGCTTTCACTTGGCGTCTACTTTTCATCTATCTGTGTCACCACCCCAGTACTCTTTGTGACGTGTAAACGTGCGCAACCTATTCGTGTGTACCTCTTCTTCTCATTGTGATTGACTTAGCACTTGTGATAGTTCTGTCTGGTAGGGTTCATAACACCTCCATTCTGCACTCTTCCCTTTGTGTTGATTTGTCACCGAAGCCTTGATTGTCCTTGTTGTTCTGTTGTGCTGATTTGTCACACATGTGAGGTAATTGAGTGTTTACACCTTGCGCTAGTATCTTCTCTATAAAATAGCATTATTCAGTTTAAAACCCCTTTAGGGCGCGTTCAGACTACCGTGAACCCCGTCAAACCGTGAATGCCGATAAACCGTGAAGGACATTCACACTACCGATAACAAACTAACGTTACCGTGAAGTTTTCAGCTCTCACCGCGGCACTGACAAGGGATTTTCCCTTTTTTCGCAGCGCGCATGCAGCTTGAGCACTTTTTTACTGCCGGTAAAAGTTTACTGCCGCAGCAGCCGCGGCAGTTAAACTTTCCCACCGGTAACGTGCCAGTAACGTCACGTGATCAAATCACCTCGGCGACTTTCCCAATCGGTCACTTTTTATCGGTAGTCTGAACGCGCCCTTACACACAGTTCAACAACTGCTTCTCCTCTGATGAGTTCCCCGTCATCTTTGTAGAACGAAACAAGACTTGTCAGGAGTAACACTACTTGCTTTCGTGGAGTGTGGCTGGTGAGCTGTTCGTGCTGTGATCTGCAAGCGCCGTGTGGTCTCGTCGGGTCAAATAAAAAACCTATTACTACTATTTGGCGGACCTATTGAAGATGGCAACAAAGAACTACAAAGGGTATAGCCCGTGTGGCATAATGATTTTTGAATGAAGTCGATCCGTGGACCCCATTGCGTCGCGCACACACGCATGCACAAACATGCTGAACAGTGGCTTTTTGAACGCAGATAGTTCTTCTTCGAAATGACTTCCAAATAATTCACATGGTGGTTAGTTGTGTTCTCTTCGTCGAGGCAGAATGCAGCTGCATGCCATGCTCCTGTATGTTCCTGCATGTTCTCTTTTCACGTCTTGACATTGTGGCGGCCAGAGTCACGCTGCTAGACGGGAGAAGACGCAGGTGACCATGCTTTGGTCCATATGGAAAATCAATGAAATTTGGTAATTATCGTCGGGCGCTAAAACCGTCGTAGCAGTCATCCCTACCTTGACAGGCATCGACTGGTATATGTTCCATTCTGTTCCCTTCCACAACGGGTCGTCTGCGAAGCTTTCTTCTTCGCCGATTCTCGGACAGATTGTACGTCTTCGCAATGTATCTCCTGTCTCCCTCAACGGATCAAAACACGGTTTTCGCGAGGACGCAGACAAAATCCCAGACTTCGCATCGGCAACATCTTCGAGTCGGGAAAACCATGAAAACCCAGCAACCAACCAGGAATCACCAATAAACACGTGCAATACACAGTGTGATTTGCGACAGCTGTCATTGTGCCGTCGCACCAAGCAGAGACCATGCACGGGGAAGGAACATGGATGAGTCATTTTATTACGACAGCCTGCACTGGCTAGTGTGTGTGTGTGTGTGTATGTGTATGTGTGTGTATGTGTATGTGTGTGTGTGTGTGTGTGTGTGTGTGTGTGCGTGTGTGTGCATGTGTGTGCGTGTGCGTGCGTGTGTGTGTGTGTGGTGTGTGTGTGTGTGAGAGAGAGAGAATGAGAGAGAGAGAGAGGGAGGAGGAGGAGGAGGAGTAGGAAGAGGAGGAGGAGAAGGAGGAGGAAGAAGATTAGGAGGAGTTGGAGGAGAATGATGAGGAGGAGGAGTTGGAGGAAGAGGAGGAGGAGAAGGAGAAAGATAGTGCAACAGAGAAGCAAGACCCCTGGACGAATGTGAGAACAACAAAGCTATCCTCTACGGATGGGAAAGACCCTAGAGCAGATAAGGAGATCAGTCTGGTTTGCTTGCCTTGTCACTAGATGGCGTGGCCATGGTGTCAGCCATTGTTCGGAAGACAGCATGCAGCGGTGTGCTTTCTGTGTGTTCTCTGTGCAGTCTGTGTGTTCTCTGTGCACTCTCTATTGTGTTCTTCATGTGTGTTATTGCAGTGCGTGCGTTATTGCAGTGCTATTCTCAGTCAGTGGCAAGTTAGCGTATTATTCGGATATTGTTATTGTTTGTATTGTTTATATGCATTTGAAGCCTGTGACCTGCTGTCGCAGCGAGTGTTTGATTGTGTGTGCGCGACGCGCGTCTCAATTACGTGTTGAGGACTATGATTTATTGCTACAGTGCGCGAGGAGTTACAGAACAACAACACGAGTGTACAGTTAGAAGTTGCATTGATTGTTCGATTTATTTATTGCATTCTGTATTGACTTTTAAAGTTACGAGATTTGTCATCCAGGACACGCGCTTGCTGGGTCTATGCTGTGAGTTATCCAGCTTCTAGTTCTATTTTTGATCGCCATTATTCCATAGTGTTGTACTTGCACAACTTCGCTCTATTTCCTTCTCTCAATACTTATTTACTTTCAAAGCTTCCCGCAGCGATTCAAATTCACTTCCCTCTTTTCTGTTTTCTTGTTTTGTCTTTTTCTTTATGCCACGTCTGCGCTCGATCACACGATCGATGTGAGCTGCAGCTGTGACGTCATGTACCACTAAATGCACTCTTATTTTGGCTGCGTGCACAAGGCGTGTACAATGCGTGCATAAGGCGTGCACAAGGCGTTTCTTGTGCGTGCATTGCACCGTGTTCTGAAAGAGTTTTTGAGAAGACGAGCAAGTTGTCGTTTTAGATTGTCTGATGTGCGGTGGAAAGCGCGTCTTCACGCGTACAGCCATCTTCTGTTCGATGCGCACATGTCCATTGTGATCAGCTGGTATTGCCATTACCGGAATAGAGTCTAGAATCCAAGTGTTGCGCCTTCCCTGCGTCACCTGGACAGAATCAGTAAAAAAAACGTATATTTTCGGATCCGTATACCGATTACAATGTAGGTCAACACCTCCATATCCACACCTGGGGGGGGGGGACCTGGGGGGGGGGGGACCTGGGGGGGGGTAGAACAGCAGGATTGCAAAACAGACAACTACTATTGCGCTAACCTAGACACAAGAAACCTAACCGATGTAAGCCAGACTGAATTGGCAATGCTGCTTTGCACGTGTACACACAGTTAGCAAACCGCCACCGCCGCCGCCGCCACCGCCACTGCCACCGCCGCCACCACATTGACAAGCAAAAGCATAGCTGGACAATTCATGCAAGGCAACTGCTCTCGCACCAACCAATGTCTTAGGGAGTAGTTTTCTGGCATCGTCAATGGCTTCTGAGAATTGATGGGTAACTGCCTGCAGTGTACAGTGCAGAGAAATAGACAACTTGGATTTATGGTTTTGTGTGCAGTGTCCTCTGGCGGGTCTTCAACGCCCTGACGAAATCCGGTGGAGTGAGTCAAATATGCGCCGGGTAACGGCAGTCCAGATCTAGACCTGCAAAGCCTGGTGTAAACACTGGAGTGTGAACCGGCGGCAGGGTGCAAACTTGCCTCACTCGATCGGATTGCATTGAGCAGCACTGCATATACCCCCCCCCCCACACACACACATACGCCATTTACACTATGTACACCATGTACACAGACAGACCTCAGACCTCTGACATGCCCATCGCGGAAGCGATGATAGCGAACAGCTATGTTAGACATAGCAACTTGTGCTGGGATTACACCATTCAACAGCTTGCAAGGCTGATGAATTGACCGCCACTAATTTTAGCCTGGGATCCACCACACAGCTGATTGAAGTGACTTTTTCTGGCCAGTGAATCATTATTTTTCATTTTTTTCATTTTTTCATTTTTCATTTTTCCGACATACAGTAGTCAACTTCGCTTATAATATTCGACACTCGGCGGGGCATCAAAAAGGTGTCCTTATTCGCGAAGTGTCGTTATACCCGAAGTCTCATTATATGTATTACAGTGGGATGGGACTTTGCTCTGGGCATGGAAATTCTGTCGTTATTCGCGAATTGTCGTTATATCCGCAGTCGCTATTAGCGAAGTTGGCTGTACACACCACACCACATACTCCGGCATACACTGGCTGTTGGTAACCACCCAGGAGAATGAAAGAAGAGCTAGGAGAATGACAAAGAGAAGAAAGACGTGTGCGACCATAATCGTCAGGAATTGAACCCGCAACCTCTCGATTGGAAATCGACTGCACATACCACTGCACCATATGGGACACACACACACACACACACACACACACACACACCATGTGCGGCATGTAAACACACATACACACACACGCACACGCACGCATACACACACGCACGCACACGCACGCATACACACACATTTACATACCATGTACCATGTATACGCCCGTTGCAAGAGAAGCACGCAAATCTGCAAATGCACTGCATGTACAGATTTTCTCTTATAGCAACGATAGCGAACAAGATCTGATTGAGACAAATTGAGACTTGCACCAGATAACTGTCCAATCCACACAACTGGCGAAGCCATGTGAATCGACCACCAATGCACACCTGGTCTACGCCACACGGAGTACATCGGCATAAAACGGTCAGGACGGTTACCTATGCACATCCTACACTTGCTGGGGTAACCAGTATAGACAGCACGCTGCTTTGATAGAAGCAGACACTAGATGCACTGGTACCTTGAAGTAAAATTGGAGCTACTTTACCAACCAGCCTCGGCTACTGAGTACTGGGAACCCAGAGCCAACAGACATACCAACAACCTCAGCCACGAAAGCTATTATAGTTACGGCACACTGGATTGTGGAGCCGAAACCAGTCCAACTTCCAAATGCTTTGGCAAGACGGTAGCCTTCCGACAGGTTGGACATACACACACATACACACACACACACACACACACACACACACACACGAATACACGAACACACACAAACTTCATCAGTGGGTTCAGAAATGAGAATCTCAATCTGCATCAAGTCACACAAACTTGCAAACTTGCCTTCAAAGAAGCAAAAGACGTACAGATGTCGTCCAGCTCTTTCCATTCCTTCTCTGCACAGTTCATTTGTTTGTACGCCACCTCCTTCTTTCCGTAGACATCATCATTTGTCCTCTGAAGAATACCCTGTACGGTTTCTTCCACTTCTTTTGAACTGTGTGACCTGTTGTCAAAAAGGCGTGAGTTGTAAAACCTTTCCGGGAGCATGCCCTTCTTCTTCATGTCCATACCGAGACGATCTGCATCAGCCATCAGCATGCAGAAATAGTCAGCTGCACGGCCGGTGAGGTCTAGCTTCTTGCACTGCAATTTGTAGTCTTGCCTCAGGTCCGCCTAATGTTACGTCACAGAAGCACAAGCAGCACACACACACACACACACACACACACACACCACACACACACACACACACACACACACACACACACACACACACACACACACACACACACACACACACACACACACACACACACACACACACACACACATGTATGTCCTCAGGTTCTGAACCTAAAGCCGCTGCGTGTACCCAAGGGGGGAAAGGATAACGGCAGCACGTGTGCTACACACATGCACACAAGCACCCTTTACCACCACACATGCACACAAGCACCCTTTACCACCACACATGCACGCAAGCACCCTTTACCACCACACATGCATGCAAGCACCCTTTACCACCACACATGCACGCAAGCACCCTTTACCACCACACATGCACGCAAGCACCCTTTACCACCACACATGCAAGCAAAGTATATGTATACACGCCTGCTGCACTCGCACTTGTGCACGCACGCACACACGCCCGCACGCTCACCTGCACGCCCGCACGCATGTGCACACACACACACACACACACACACACACGGATTGCATAACACACGGATTGCATAACACACGGATTGCATAACACACGGATTGCATAACACACGGATTGCATAACACACGGATTCACACTACCTTGTAACCGTCATGTTCTACTAGCTCAAAGCAGATGCCGTCAAAGCTGATTCGGGGGTCATCCGCGTGGAGTTCTGGGTCCTTTGCATCTCGGACCTTGCTACGTGTGGTTATGAAGCTCCGTGCCAAAGCATCAAGCTTTACATCCAGCTGTTCTTCTAGCTTTTGTGCAATCTCAAGTCGAATTATCCTACAAAAAAATCAACAGATATATCCGTGGTTGAGTGTCTGCAAGGGCAAACTTTATGTGCCATACTTTACCGGTTGTACGAGCTAAGTCGACCCCGTTAGGCGTTTAACCGCCCCAGGTATAAGTCGACTCCCGTTAGGCGTTTAACCGCCCCAGGTATAAGTCGACTCCCGTTAGGCGTTTAACCGCCCCAGGTATAAGTCGACTCCCGTTAGGCGTTTAACCGCCCCAGGTATAAGTCGACTCCCGTTAGGCGTTTAACCGCCCCAGGTATAAGTCGACTCCCGTTAGGCGTTTAACCGCCCCAGGTATAAGTCGACTCCCGTTAGGCATTTAACCGCCCCAGGTATAAGTCGACTCCCGTTAGGCGTTTACCCGCCCGAGTATATAGTCCGCAGGCCAGGGTTGAAATTTTTCGAGATAAAAAAATCTCGCTCCCGCTCAGGGGGGACCAAGTTTGGTTGTGGCGAACCGAAAGAGGACCCCTCGGGCTACTCGAAACTACTTTTGGGTATCCCCGGAGCTGGGGCTTTCGTGCGGAGTAAGCCCTTTTGGTTCCAATTTTCGGAACGACCCCAAGTGCGCAGTTGTCGTCTCCTGCAATTTTGAGTACGCGGAGAGCCTGCTCAAATTTGAATTTCGCTTTCACGTGGCGCGGCACGTGGGGCGGCACTGCAGAACTAGAAGAAATTGAAGCAGTCGGATACAACAAAGAAAGCCGAAAAGGGCTTACTCTACACGACCAACCGATCCATGGCGACTGTTTCGGGTAGCCCAAGGAGTGCTCCTTCATCCTTGGGCAACCATACATGTCTCCCTTCGACTGAGCACGCAGGTTAGGGAAACGATAATGTTTTACTGCGCCAGATGAAGGAATCGTCGAGATAGAGAAGTTTTGGTGACTGACATAATTATAAGCATAAATTATATCTCCCAGAGGCGATGGCCTGTCGAGGGATAGAGATATGATATGGACACTGGAGTATGGAATCAGTTGATCCGAAACCCCGCCGGAACACTCGGCAATCTGTGCAGGCCCCAATTGTCGAGCCAGGCCGTCAAACCTGCATTTTCTGCGGCTCTTTGAAAAAGAAGATTCCAGGCAAAAGCACTAAGCAAACAACGTCGCTCTTGCAATCCGAGGATGGCGAGCAAACCCTTCGTGCCGCTGCCGAGATCAGGCAGGACGACAAGATCTTGATAGCAATAGGCTCGAGTTGCTTGATAGCACGCGAAGCGTACTATCATAAGTATTGCTACCGAGAATATACTCGGGCCAAAACACTTGCTAGGCTGCAAGATCAGGGCGAGAGCGCAGCCACTTGTGCGCCTGTTGCCAGTGCGGGCACCGAGATTGATAAAGATTTTTTTACTGAAGTAGAAACGCTGCTGTTTGTGGAATGTTTGGTTCGGACCGTCAGTGACCTGACTCGATTGTTCAATCAAGTGTCCATAGAAGGGACAGCGCTAGCGAGAAACGAAAGAGTCAAGGGACTACTAATGGATAAGTATGGCGAGTCCATAACGTTCTCTCGTCCCCGCGCACGGAATAAATCCGAGTTGGTTTACGCCACGGAACGTGCACCAGTGATAATAGCACGACTGTATGACAGGGACGCTGCGAGCGAAAGCGAGAGTGAGGAATCTGGTGACAGTCCTAGTGCTAGCGCCTGTGAGAGCCAAGAGGGTATCGCTAGTACCACTACCAGTAGGTCTACCAACTATGGAACAAGAGCACCCAGACGCCCCGCTGAAGTGGATGTGCACCAGACTGTTATTATGCAGGACAGCATACGTCTGGTATACCATTCGGCTAGGCTCCTGCGGAATGCCTGTCAGCAACAGGCAGAGAGTTTCGACACTACAAGCACAAGTCCTGGCAGCAGCACTGGTATGATTTCAGTGAAGCAAGCTGAGCAGTGCATTCCTGCCCTGCTCCACAATTTCCTTGTGTGGTTTTTGAGCTCAGGCCAGCATGACAATATACCAGCAGCATCCAGCAAGCTTGAAGTTGATTCCACGCTCAACCGCTGTGTGATGTCCTTTGCACAGGACCTAGTGTTCCAGTGCACAACTATCGTGCCACCAAAGCATGTTGCTCTTGGTTTGGCTGTACACCATCTGTACAGAAGTGAACGACTTGTGACCATACTGAACAGATTTGGCCACAGCATTGCGTACGCCCAGGTGCTGGAGAGAGAGACACGGATGGCCGAAAGTAAACTCCACAGCAGGGAGGCTACTGACGGCCTTCCGGATATTGTCGATCTCTCCATGCCATTCTTCCACGTTGCTGACAACAACGACCTTAACGAGGAGACATTGGATGGAAAGGGCACGACCCATTGTACCAACACCATTGTGGTCCAACCCGTGTTGCGGCCCGTTCCACAGCCTGAACTGCAGCCCGCTATGCAGCCTGAACAGCAGTCCGTTCCACAGCCTGTACTGCAGCCCGCTGTGCAGCCTGAACAGCCATCCACTACACAGCCTGAACAGCAGTCCGCTACACAGCCGATGGCTGCTACTGAGAGCTCTGGGGGAAAGAAGCGGAAGCGAGCCCTTTCATTAGAGCCAGAATCGCTCCCGGATTTTGTTGGCCGACAGAAGGTCAACCCGCCACGATTTCCATATGCTACAATAGAGCAGTTGGATGGTGTAAAGCACGATGGTACAGACGCTGTTGGTCTTGTAGACTTTGCGTGGCGGCTTGTGAGGGCGTGTCGGGATGCAGATCTCTGCAATCCTGTGATGTCTTTGTCCGAAGAGAATCCCAATCAAGATGTGCCATCGTGGTCAGCATTTAATGGTCTTACAACCAGTGCTAGTACCCCTCCTCGCTCCGTGCTTGCATACTGTCCTGTCGTGAATGCTTCTCCTACTGAACTTTCCACAGTGTATGGTATCCTCAAGAAATGCGTCAGCCGGTGCGAGCGTGCAGGAATGGCCTTCTCACTGATTGTTTTTGACCAAGCCATCTATGCCAAGGCCCTGGATGTGATTTCTCAACGACAAGAAATATGATCGGAATGTCCGGAGACCCATGAAAGCGTGACAGTAATAGTAACTTTACAGATTATGCCAGTACTAAGACTTTATTATTATAATCAGAGACTTCATGCTAGGAAATAATAAATTATCCTTCTAGTGTACTTGTCCTATTTCCTATTTTGTGCAGGCTCCTTGTTGTATAATATGTTCTCAAATGTGACATACATTATTACAATGTATTACTATTGCGAAATGACCCAAAGGCAGTATGCCTATCGAGGGGTTCATTTGATTGAAAGAACAGTACTACTACTAGTATGTGGGGCTTGATGAGGAGAGAAACGCGGAAAATGAACTGCAAGGTGTAGTGGCGGAATTCCGTTGATTGCATAAGCATGGTTAGTGTATATTGCATTCCGTGTATTGACGCTATTGTGTTCTATTCTAAGAAATGCTATTGAGGTAGTAAAACACCTCCGATCATCATGAAAATGTGTACACAGCTAGGTCTGGGCCTTGGCTACTTCATTCCAAAGCAACACTGTTGGTATTTAATCTGCAAGATACCTAAATTGGGAATTATCACTTTGGTTGCTATGGTAACACTCTTCAAGAAGTATTTCGTTGATTTGGTCAACAAAGCCCCATGTTTCTGGGTCAAGTGACACAGATCCTGAAAGCTCTATGTATTCTCTATCATTTGCACATGTCAAACCTTGGTCCCCCTCGAACGGGAACGAAAAGTCACTTTTTTGCACCTTGGCCTGTGGACTAATACAGTAAAACCTGGTTTAAGCGACCACCCCACGGTGCAAGCAAAAGCGGTCGTTAAAGCCAGGTGGTCTTTCGAACCAGGTCCCATACATTCGTGGCATATCGGATTGTGTACATACATGTGCATGATTGTACTTCCATGTACTCATATTGACAGGTGTGGAGCATAGAATACTTTGGTGCGGGCCAAGCGCACCCCACTCAAGTGCATGCAGCGCATCCTGCTCTGTCACTTGTCACTTCTGTTGACTGCACGCACTTGCTTCAGAGCGCACTTCAACCGTGGTGCAGTCAACTCTGCCAGCCAAGATGGCACTTTTGGATAGTTTTGGTCACTGTGTGCTGGTCCAATATGGCACTTAGTACATTAAAAGTCGGTCGCTGGTCGCGCAAGGCAGGTGGTCGCTGTATCTGGTGAAGCTTCTGTGCAGAACTGTCCGTGCATGGAAAAACGGTTCTTCAAAGCAGGTGGTCGCTAAAACCAGAGGTCGCTAAAACCAGAGGTCGCTAAAACCAGAGGTCGCTAAAACCAGAGGTCGCTAAAACCAGAGGTCGCTAAAACCAGAGGTCGCTAAAACCAGAGGTCGCTAAAACCAGAGGTCGCTAAAACCAGAGGTCGCTAAAACCAGAGGTCGCTAAAACCAGAGGTCGCTAAAACCAGAGGTCGCTAAAACCAGAGGTCGCTAAAACCAGAGGTCGCTAAAACCAGAGGTCGCTAAAACCAGAGGTCGCTAAAACCAGAGGTCGCTAAAACCAGAGGTCGCTAAAACCAGAGGTCGCTAAAACCAGAGGTCGCTAAAACCAGAGGTCGCTAAAACCAGAGGTCGCTAAAACCAGAGGTCGCTAAAACCAGAGGTCGCTAAAACCAGAGGTCGCTAAAACCAGAGGTCGCTAAAACCAGAGGTCGCTAAAACCAGAGGTCGCTAAAACCAGAGGTCGCTAAAACCAGAGGTCGCTAAAACCAGAGGTCGCTAAAACCAGAGGTCGCTAAAACCAGAGGTCGCTAAAACCAGAGGTCGCTAAAACCAGAGGTCGCTAAAACCAGAGGTCGCTAAAACCAGAGGTCGCTAAAACCAGAGGTCGCTAAAACCAGAGGTCGCTAAAACCAGAGGTCGCTAAAACCAGAGGTCGCTAAAACCAGAGGTCGCTAAAACCAGAGGTCGCTAAAACCAGAGGTCGCTAAAACCAGAGGTCGCTAAAACCAGAGGTCGCTAAAACCAGAGGTCGCTAAAACC